TGGACATGAAACACTTTGGTGTCACAGGTATAGTGAACATTGTAGATTTTTTTTTTTTGTGGATAACAAGGAAAAACACTTGGTACAGAAAAGGAGCATTGGGAATCATTTCACAAATCCATAGCCTGTGCAGATCACTGTTCACCATGTAGAAATTCTTTACATCATGTGGTCTTCATTGGATCAGTGGTGGTTGTCTGCATAAATAAAATGAAAGCTGGAAAATAATAGTAACAGTATAAACATAATTACTGCAAAATGGCTATCTCAGCCACATCCCCAATTACACAACCCCAGAGCATTCTGAACAGTGTACTAATACCAGCATTATACAATACCTTGTGGGGAGAGGTAGTAAATAAGGGTGACCGGTAAACAGAGACAAGGCTCTATGGGATCAATCTGTATCTTTCATGTAGGCTGTCCAAGGATGCTATATATCCTCAACTCTATGGAGGTTTCTTGTTTAAGAAGTAATGAGGTTCTCCATAATTCTAGTACACTCCACTATAAGGACCCAGTCTCTGAATGTGTGAAGTTCAGAACGTTTCCAAAATATTTTTTGTTTCTTCATTGAATGATTGCCCTATATGCAGTAGCATTCATTTCTTTATTAGTTGTTATGTTAATAGAATCTGTTTATTGCAGGCCTCTAAAGTATATGAATATATATTCAATTTATATCTATCTGTCCCACACTGCAGAAGATAAAATGACACCCTCTTTGAATACTATGGTTTTACATATCTGGACATAACGATCATCTTTTCCATAGCAGATCTTTAAAATTGGGTAAAACCAGCCTGCGATGAACAGAACACACCTTCTTGCTTCCACAGGAATTAAGAGGCTACGTAGCAGACAGGTGCCGCTGCTCAAATGTCCTTTATTAATTATCAGCAAGTTTGACCACCTCTAAAAGCCAAAGGTTTTTTTTTTAGTAGTTTGCTGGTGTGGAGCATTAAGGTGTGCCAAGGAGGAGCAATAATCTTAGAGAAGCCATTCTTGCTGCCTATCAAACTGGGGAGGATTATAAGGCCATTTCCAAACAATTTAAAGTTCCATCATTTTACAGTGAGAAAGATTATTCAAAAGTGAAAAACATTCAAGACCGTTGCCAATCTTTACAGGAGTGAACATCCCAGTAAATTCACCCTAGGTCAGACCTTGCAATGCTCAGAGAAATGAAAAAGAAGAAAGTTCTCAGCCTCAGCATGTTAACCCCTTAAGGACCAAACTTCTGGAATAAAAGGGAATCATGGCCTGTCACACATGTCATGTGTCCTTAAGGGGTTAAAGGGACCCTATAGTCACCAGAACAACTACAGCTTATTGTAGTTGTTCTGGTAAGTATAGTCAGTACCTGCAAGCTTTTTAATATTTCAATTCTGATGTCAGCCAGAGAGGCGGATTGGGGGCAAGGCCAGATGCAAGGATCCCTACGCAGCACAGGAAATAGGTGAGTTTTAACCCTTTTACTTTCCTGGCAGGGGCTCTGAGGGCCTAAATAGTGATATTAGAACTATAGTGTCAAAAATACATGTTTGTTTTTCCTGAAACTATAGTGCCCCTTGAAATGTTAAAGTTTATGATAGTACAATTAGAAAATAACTGAACAAGTGTGGTTTGTTTGAAAGTGTTGCCAAGAAAAAAAACTTCTACACTATTAAAAGAGCATGGCTTAGGTTTGCAAAGGTGCATTGAACAAACCACAAGACTTCTGGAACAATGTTCTTTGGACAGACGAGACCAAAGTGAAAATGTTTGACCATAATGCACAAACACCTCATACCAGCTGTCAAGCACGGTAGTGGAAGGGTGATAATTTGGGCTTGTTTTTTAGCCACAGTACCTGGGAACCTTGCAGTCATTGAGTCGACCATGAACTTGTGTGTACTAAAGTGTCAGAGTTAAATGTGAGGCCATCTATCTGAAAGCTAATGCTTGGCCGAAGTTGGATCATTCATCAGGACAGTGCTTCCAAGCACATCAGCAAATCTACAACTAAATGGCTGAAAAATAATTGTAATGAAAAAATAAGTAACCTGGCGGGACCTTATGAGAGTTGTGCATAAACAAATGCCAGAAAACCTTAGTGAACTGAAGTAACGTTGTTAAGAAGACCAAATTCCTCCACACCGATGTGAGAGACTGATGAAATAATAGTTTTCTTTATGCCTTTAAGTTATTGCTACTAAAGGTGGTTTTACAGCTATTGAATCATACGGCGTACTTAGTTTTTCACACATGGCTTCTGCATTTTGGCTTTATTTTTGGTAAATAAATCTACTGCAATGTCATGTGTTGTTCATCAGAGCTTGTATTTACCTAATTTTTAGACCTGCTAAGGAATGTGTAAAACAATAGACTTCTTTTTTCCCATGACTGTATGTATATTATTATTATTATTGCCATTTATACAGCGCCAACAGATTCTGTAGCACTTTACAATATTATATCAATAGAATATCAAATTGTTCTGCTACCACGTGAGGAAACCAGACTAAGGCTGTTGTGGGTTACCTATTTTTAAGCTATAGCTTCCCATGTTTGATTCAAACAGTGGAATGTTTATGGGGAAAATGCTATTAAAGGCTTCTGAATATTAATATGCCTAGAAGTTTGAGATGGTACTATATCCCTCCATTACAATTTTCAGAAATATTTATCTTTTTATAATACATGATATTATGTATTCATTTTCAACTAGCGTTAAGGCTAGGGCTCCCTTAATCTTGAAGGAGGACATAACATACATATTTCAGAGAATTAGGTGATTCAGGCTCTTTGCAGATTCTGACATTATTTATGCCCCTCTTTCTTTAGTAACATATCAGGAGAGGAGCTGATAATAGAATCACACAGTCTCTGTGGCCCCAGAAAAAATGTGTCCGGAAATGCACTTGCACTACACTGTGCATATCTATATGGAGAGAGAATCCTTGTATCCATCTAGATTGGTATAAAGGGATATCATCAATAATTTGTATATATGTAAAAAATACACTGAGAAATGCTTTCCCATGGACTGTTTGAATGCGCTCTTGCTGCGCATGCGCATTCCGCTTCACTCGGGAGCTGACGTCGGCGGGGGGGGGGGAGAGGTCTCCAGCGCCAAGGGAGCCTGGCATTGGATTTAAAAAACTGAAGGGCTTTTAACCCCTTCAGCCCAGCAGGAGGGGGACCCTGTGGGTGAGTGTCCCCCAAGGATTATATAGTGTCAGGAAAGCGACTTTTTTTTTCCTGACACTATAGTGATCCTTTAAGGGGACTTCAATGAACTGAAGTGGTCTGAGTGCCATTAGTGTTAATTTAAAATTGCGAAGAGCCTGTTTCCCCATCTCAGAGGTTTATATACCTAAAGTGTAGGTATATTACATTACATTGTAAATGTATTTACCAAAACCATTGCTATTTATTAATTATTTTACATAACCATTTCACTGTCCATAGGGATGTCAAAGAATCCTGCCTTGTTTGTTTCCAACCCCAGGGTAGTTACTGAAGAACTAAGTGGTTTTGTTACTGGTTCTTCTATCCATTATAAATAATCTTAAAGTACTATGAAATATTAATTTAGGAGTTACCCCCATTCTAAGGTAGGTGTGTGTGTGTGTGTGTTAGCTCCATTTTTTTCTTAGTTCTCGTACTATAACATATTCTTTATTTAAATTTGTCCTGGCAACATCTACTCTTTGATCTACCTCTATTCGAATAAAACAAGCTCCAGTGCCTTTGCAAGTTACTCATAGAAATGTATTTTAATTACTTTTAAATAGTTTTAGGAGAAATCATTAATTTGTTGATAATTTGGATTTAAGATTGAAGTCTAAAATGTATTCAGTATAATTTATAAACTGCATAGTGTCTGTTTAGAACTCTTGTTATTTTTATCGATGGATAACATTAGCATAATTCCACATTTAAGTTATAAAACAAATTATATTTTGCACATACATGGGCTGTCCGTTTAGCACCATAAGGTATTTATTTATTTATTCTGACTTTTTCTCTTTTCTCCCCCTCTCCTATTTATCAAATCCCTTTTGAAGGCGCCAGATTTTCGGCTTGATTCATCAAATGCACAGCGAACAGTCTCATTCATCATCTCCACAAGTGACAAATGTGGACAGTGGTGATAACTCAGGAAGTGATTCACATACTACCACTTGCTTCTTGAGCTGTACAGCCAACAGCATGGATGTAGATGGAGTGACTGATCCTAGCAAGCACAGCTACACTCAAGAAACAAAACGCCTAAAGCGGGCTCCTGTGCAAGACTCTATAAGCTATGACTCAGAGCTTAGGTTCATTAATTGCATTTTATCTAGCTCCCAGAATACTGAGCAATCTAGGTTTGCTGCTTCATACAAAAAATTTCTGCTATCTTTATTAGGTCACTGATGACATAAAAAAAATTGATTAATTATGGTGCAATATTTTTTTATTTTTTTTTTGGTAACGACATGCCATTGTTACAAGCTATAGGCCCTTCAAAATGTCTAACCTACGTGGAAGTTTGTTTGGAGGTTGTTTTATTTATTATCTATTGGTTTCATCTCAACAAGGATTTTCCAGAGTTAAATGAAAAATCAAGACCATTCTCAATTAAACATGTTAATTCTATTCTTACTTTCAGACTGCTTGTTTATATTTAAACATTGTTTGCCCCTTTTGCAGTGTTTTGTTGTTTTTGCTTTGTTTATATTTAACTGTAGTTCAGTAGGGTTAATAGTTTGGGTGAGGCTATCACATCTTACATTAGTGTGCCCCCTTCATTCCCCCCCCCTATTTACTATATTCAGAATGAAATAAAACCAAATCCACATTTAGTCTATATTTAATAATCAAATTTCCACTGCATCTTTGGTGTAATGGTGCCTAATGATGATGCAGAATATACAGTGTTTGTCCAAGTTAGACCCCCTATTCAGAAGTTTCACTTAGTTGATTTTAAAGTTCTATGTAGGGTTGAAAATATCCTAAGAAATATACATATTTTTTATTTCACATTTAAACAAAATCTACTTTGCAAATGTATTAAATGTTCTAACAGCCCAGATAGGGACACTTGTCATTGCAACATGTTAAATTAAGTTCTTGCTTTTAGGTTTTAAAGGGATACTCCGGTAACCATAACTATTTCAACTCAATGAAGTGTTATGGTATGAATCAGTCCTAGATGCCATATTCTGGCAATAACAATTTTTCATATGTTTTAAACCCATAGTGCTGTTCACAATCCCTGGCCTCTCTGCCATCTCCTTGGACCCAGATTCAAAGCAGAAGTTTTCCCTTTCAGCTAATGCTCTCAGCCTACCACTGGGCTCCCAGTGAGAGAAATTCTTTAGAAAGTACATACAATGATGTAGGAGACATTGTGGCAACAGATTTAAAAAAAACAAAAAAAACTGCATAACCAAATACAAAAGATTTGCAGTTCCCTGTTAGCTAGGTAAGGCATATCCTAAAATTGTGGTTTGTCTTTTATATGTATTTTTCTATGGTTTCTATAAGTAGGGGTTTAAACCCACAGGAACTAGAACACCTGAATCGGGGAAGTATGAGTGGTAGCAAGTTTAAAAATGTTACTCCGTACATTGTCTGCTGTATATATGCAGGCCTGGAGAAGTATATACCTCTGTGGCAGATTGGAACAAGTGGCTTCTCTGGAAGCTCAAATTGGAGATCAGGAAAAGCAAATTGAAATGCCTAGACTGTCTACCATATCTATCTGTCAAGGTTGTCAGTCAAAGAGGAGGAAAGGTGTAGCGAGTCCTGACTTTGTATACTCCAGCAGATTTTCCCATTAGAGCGAACATTTTGGGAGTATCTGCTCAGAAAGAACAGCTTCCTCGAGCTCAGTCAGTCCGAACAGCTGAGGGAACAGCTCCTCTTTTATAGACTGGATCCAGAATGGAAGAAAGTCAATGCAAGTTTTAGTAGTAAGCAAATCTGTTAAGAGAGACAGGGTAATCATGTCAGCTAGATAGTTTGCTGTCTCCCGAGTGCTTGTGTTCTTCATGGTGCTGACAGAGTGAATAGATTATTGGGAGGGGCTGGGGATGGCCTGACTATCATAGTCCATGTTTGCGCCAATTACAAAGTTATAGGAAGATGGAGGGCCCTTAAGAATGTTTCATATGAACTGAAGCAATAACTATGGCTGTAGATTTGCAAATACTTCTTACAAAAGCCTTGCAACAAACCGGTAATTTGGTAAACACAGGTTAAAGTGCTACAGCAATTAAATAAACAATGCTAACAAAGCCTGTGAGCCAGATGATATTCACCTATGATTACTTAAGGAGCTAAATGTAGAAATATCCATACCATTGTTATTAAATCTTTCAAGATTCTTTTCATACATGAATCATAGCAGAGGATTGGATAAAGGGAAATACAGTGCCTTTATTTAAAGAGTTTGAAAGCTCAACCCTCAAACTACAGACATGAGTTTAAATACAAATAATTGAAAGTAGGATAAGTGCAAAAAGGCAACTGTTTGTAGAATTGTAAGCAGACTGCAAATACTGGTAGTAAAGGATACCCTTGTCCTGTTACTGATTAATTTAGAGCAAGATAATACAAAATCTATGTACAGGTTGTGCCAAAATAAAAAGTCCAATAGAATATCAGATGCTTGGAGTAGGGATCGACCGATTATGGGTCTGGCCCATATTCTGTGTTTTCAGCAATATCGGTATCTACCAATAAAGATACAGATAATACAGACCAGGGCCTCCATCAGGGTCCTAGGGGGCCCAGCACACACTTCCCTTCCCTTCAGCCCCCCCATCTAACTTTCGCGAGTTTTGCAGCCGTCCGAGTGTTGCCACAGGTTACCATGGCAACGCTTCGTGCGGCACACAGGCTGAGAGAGTTAGACAGGGGAGCTGAAGGGAGGTGGTGGGCCATCCAGGGAATGCCATATCACTGACAATATCGTCGTTGTAATACATGTTACTGTTTTGAAACACTAATATTTGTGTTCAGCGAAGTCTTCCGAGTAAAACAGTACCTCCCATGTACAGGTTTTATGGTGTCTTGGAAAGTTACAGGGTTAAAGATAGTGCTAGCAAATTAATTTCCTTGGACTTTTGGCCTTGGTTGTCATGCTGGTCCTGCTAATTGTAATTAATAAAATTACCTAATTTATGTAAAATTATTACATGTATACGTAGAATTTTATATATATATATATATATATATATATATATATATATATATATATATATATGTGTGTGTGTGTGTGTATGTAAATATATATATATAATTTTTTTACATTTTTATTTCTATAGATATATAGTGATATATATGTATATACTTATGTATATAGATATATTATTTTGTTCTACATGTATTTTGATATCTATATATTTTAAAATAGAACAAATTTACACATTTTTTTTAATTTAATTTAACGTATTTACAGATTTTATATTATATATAAATATATAATGAAAATTTGAGATATATATATATTTAACCGATATTGTACGTGTGTTGATATATATTTATAATTATATATAAATATTAAAATACACGTAGACAGTATGTATGTGTGTGTGTGTGTGTGTATATATATATATATATTTTACACTGTTTTAAACATTATTTTTTTCAGACAGCAGGGGGAGTACCTGTCGTTACAGGCACTCACCCTGCTGGCAATGCCTTGGACGGCTATGCTGTCCATGTGATCGTGAGGTCCTCGCAAGGACCTCGTGATCACATGGCCCAGGGGGGGCAAAGAGGACAGAGGGGGACTCCCTGGGCTCCCAGGTGAGTCCCCATACCGCGATCGCCGGCGTGGGATCGCCAGTGACTGGATAAGTAGAAAGGACGGTTTGGGAGTTCTATGCCGCCCTCCGGCGTTTAGAGCCGGTTCCTTAAGGACGACATTGAACGCCCGCTGTCCTTAAGGGGTTAAATCATGCTGGCTCTGCCCCTGATCTGCCTCCTTGTCAGTCTCAGCCAATCCTATGGGCAAGCATTGTGATTGGATCAGGCCACCACTTCTGATGTCAGCAGACTTTTTTTTTTTTTTTTTTGAGGCAAACCGCATGCAGAGCCACAGATTCTGGCTTGAATACAGTAATATTTTGTAATATTTAAAGAGGCATGAGGGGATAGATGGTGGTTTTAACACTATAGGGTCAGGAATACATTTTGTGTACTTGACCCTATAGTGATCCTTTAATAAAAAATAAAAAAACTGTAAAAATAAAAAAAATGTTCATTTAACAGTAGATATGTGTAGAAAGTACAGAGTATCGGTAAGTTATTGGCCTGAAAGTTCACAGATTATCGTATCGGCACTAAAAAAAAAAAAATCGAAATTGGTTGATCTCTAGCTTGGAGTATTCTTTACTTGTATGTCATCAAGGCTTCTGATGGTGGAAGGTATATGTAATAAAGCAGAAAGATAACCGATAATGATGCTGAGTATCTAGTACCAAGTGCAGAACAAACAAAGAAGTCTATAATGTAGCAGTTACTTGTACTAGATCTATAAAACCAGCTTTGCGGATAGAAGCGTGCAGCGGAACAATCCCCGCTGACTGATATGTTTTTCTAGGAGTCAGTCACTCGGCATGTAGGTGGATATTTACAAAGTTACAAAATGCAAAAAAATTGTGCTCTTTGTAAAACTGTACTGTAATTTTTATTATATCAAAAATTGATATCTTGGCACTGTTTCCCCGATTAATGATTTAAAGCTGAGAATTACCTACTATTTTAATTCTCCTAGATCCTGAAGTAATAAATATATATATATATATATAATTTGTGACAATATGTAACATGCGTGACAAACAGTGAATGTTTAGGTATAACATAAGTATACAATATGGCAGTGGATTCAACACAATATAGACAGCTAAATAGCAACCGTTATCAACATGTATGCAATCTAAGATTTACGGCCGGACACAACTTTGAAATGAACTTAACACCGAACACAGCATCTAACAGCAGCACAGCGTAAAGCAATAAACACACTGGCTGACAGTCAAATCAGACTAAATTAACTCTTTCACTGCTGGCTACAATCCTCATAGGCATGATTTCCCATTATATTGCAATTTTACAAATACAATATTTCTCATACCAAATCATTTACCATACCCATGTCCATCCAATAAGAATAATTCTAACTAGATTTTACGTTTGCAGAATTTTAACGTTCTTAATTAAGATTCACTATCTTTAATTTCAGAACAAGTCAATACCTCTGAATAAAAAATTGTTATGCTAACTTTTGGCAAATTTACCATTAACATATCATTTTCTTTACTCCACCTGCAGGAATGGAATTTTTATAACCATATATTCCATAGGTAATTATGATTTCTAATAATTGAAATTTGACCAAAATTTATCCAGATATATATTCCTGCCATTAGTAAAAATTTAATTTAATAGAACCAGCATAATTACCAGTTAGGTTGTAGATTTTCTATCAGATGTGTAGATATGTCCCAGGAATTTTTAATGCAAGTATGATGAGAGAATTGTATGAAAATATATAAAAGATTTATAGTTATGTTAGTTGGAAAAAAAAAATATATATATATATATATATATATATATATATATAAATAATTAGGAGTGTCCAACTTTGGCTACAGATGTCAGATCTTAGATGTTAAGTGTGAGTTTATGTCTAAGAGTCCAAGAGTGATTTTAAGTGTAAGAGTCTTTCTCTCTCTCCTTTGTCCTTAATTTTTAAAGGAGAAATTCCAAAACGTCACTCGTTAATAGTAACCAATAGCAAATTGTGGGTGTGTCTTCCCTACACACTCATCTAGATTTTGGTCTGTAGATGGCGTAATTACATCACCGAAATATTTTGTAAAGGGGTCCATTTACCTTTTTGTATAATGGTTTAACTGAATTTCGTGATGTTTGACGTCATCTGGTTGTCTTTTATGGCTACTATACATCACAGAAGCTGTCATCTTCAAAGGCTTGGGCTGTTTTTTTACTCAGACTTGGTGTCTGTTGTATACCTTTTAAATTTTAGATTTCTGACACATGTAGCCTTAATTTCACCTTTCCTTACAATGGAATGTGTAAGATTCTGTTAGGTTTTTGCTTAGAAAGTAAAATTAATTACTTAGTGTTATCTGTCATTTGTGTCTGTGTAGCACATAGTAATGTGAGAGGTTGCTGCAGACATCATGCCTTATCTTTACCAAATGTTTTATAAGTCATTCTTTAGTTCTGACTTGAATAGAGTTACAGAGAGAAGAAATTGTCTGTCTTTGTATTCTGTTACAAAATAGCCACCTCTGTTCTGATGATGACTTACAGTATACTCTTTTAATTTGTCTTAACACAAAATGTCTGCCAGTATAAATATACTGACAGTACACAAATCATTTATAAACGTAAAAGTAATATACTCAGAGGTAATGTAGCAATATACACTTGCTCAAGTATTAACGCTTGGGTGGTGCAATTCCAAACAGAGATATAATGTAGAGAAACTCCTCCAAAGGATAGTTCTTCCCATGTTGCAGTTGGGTATAATGGTGGTATAGATGTGCCAGGAACAGTAGAAAATAAAAAACTAAACCAAGCAAAAAAAAACTTCAAAGCATAAAAAATTAAATAAATGGTCAGGCACATAATGCTTAAAATAACTCTAAATGCATTTTGTCTAGTAAAGATTTTCTAAAGTGTAAATAGGAGAAGCCTTGCACTTTAGGGTTTATATAGGGTGGTCTGAGGTTCAAGTGGAAATGGCACCAAAATGACATGTGACTTATGACGTGGGGTTACATGATGGGTCACAAAAGAGTAAAAAAACATATTATATAAAGTAATCTTTATAATGAGTAAATACGATTTGGTTGCAATAAAATGGTTCACAAGAGATCGATTTATTCAATTCCATTGCAATATTAAAAAGTTTAAATTTACTTATATTGAGGTAGTTCTTGATATTGAGCCACTACATCCTGTGGTAAGGGGGTAAAATTAAGTGTAGTAGTACTTATAAATTGACTTTTGCCGAACTTCCGGACAAAATAGGAAGTTTGTGGCCACCATTTTAGAATTGGGATTTAGTATGGGAATATATTATATTGCTTAGCAAGGATGAAGGTAAACTCAGAATAGATGGGGGTGCAGTGTGTGTGTGGGGGGTGCAGTCTCTGTATGTAAGAGGTGCATAGGGTCTATGCTGTGTGTAGGTGGGTGAGATGTGAATATCTATCTTAATGTCTCCCCCTCCCTTCTCCTTACTTTTTATCAGGAAGGGGGGGACATAATGCTGCATTAATTGCATATGTATTTCTTCCAAATTTCTCAGTTTGGGGGCAGATTCACGGATCTCTGTGCTTTCACAGCTTTGGCTTAATTGTTCTTACAAACTAATGTCTTAACTAGCCCAATGGTTGTGTTAACCTACCTGCCACGATGCTTGGTATTGTGGTGGAAGTTTGTACCTTCCAACATTCTGCATAATGGTTTAAGATTAAAGGGACACTCCACTCCCCAAATACAAAATAAATAAAAAAATCATTGTTTACTAGCTACACCCTGAATTAATCCTTGCATGCATTTAACTTAGCATTTTTTGGGGGGAGGCGCATATATCTAAAAACCAGCTTGCAAAACTGTTATCTTGTCTGCAGCCTTTTTAAGCCCTCCCCTTCTTACCCCATCCAGACTTTCTGTTGCTGTCCAATCACAGACATTCCAAAGCAGCTCACTGAGAAGTCTTTGCAAGGCAGATGCGGTGAGCAATTTCTGCCTCTTAAGTTTGGCTCCACTGAGCTAAACAATCAGGAAGGACTGTGGGGTTTCATAGGTTGGGGTGACAGTGAGGGATGGGAGACTCCCTACTAACTCACCCACCTAGACAGTCAAGCCTGACTCTGTATATGGTTCTACCGTCAGGTCTGACTGCCAACGTCGACCTAGATGACTCCTAACCCCTTTTGGTTGATCCCACTCCCCACACTGTTCCCTTTACATCCTAACTCCCCCTCCTCCTTCACTCCCCGCATGGCCCCCCCTCCCGGGCTCTGGGGGGGTTCTCACCCGCTGCGCCTCTGGTCTAACAACATCCGGGGCTTGAACACTCCGGAAAGACTGTTGCACCTACTGGGCGCCATCTGGGGGCCAGGGCCTCGGTGGACTTCCTCCAGGAAACTCATTTCCAGGGGACGGCCTGCCCCGCTCTCCACCATAAGAGTTACCAGGAGTGGCCATACTCTTCGCCAATCACGTGCCATTCATCTGCACTGAGGAAAGGGCGGACCCATATGGAAGATATCTATTCCTAAAAGGCACTATGGCCGACAAGCAATACACTTTCATCTCCATATATAGCCCAAACTCTAAACAGCACCGCTACATCTCCAAAACCTAAAAGCTGCTAGAGCAATTCCGAGAGGGGCTCCTCGTACTAGCGGGTGACCTCAACATTCCCCTGGACCCATGGGCTGATACCTCTAAGGGACGTAGCTCACTCCCAGTGGCCTGTCTCAAGGCCACCCAAAAAGCGCTCCAAGACACAGGCTTGGAGGACTGCTGGCGTGTTCTACACCCAAACGTAAAGGATTTCTCATATTATTCCCCTTTACACCGCGGATACAGTCGGCTAGAATATATATTTATCGCGCAAGAATACTTGCACCTTCTTCAAACATGCAATATCCTAATCTCCACCAGGTGCATAACCCCGAGATAGTGGATGGCCTAGTGCCGCAGGACGTCACTGGGCTCGGCGGGTGAGGTGCCCTGCACCTCCGAGCGTGGTGCTCAAATAACAACCTAAAACCCTTTGAAGACCTGCTCGCACAGAACCGCGCCACAGGGTTACTCAAATACCGATATCACCAGGTGCAACGCTACTACATTTCACTCCCAGGGAGACATCTCATACACAGAGACCTTACCCAGTACGAGGCGCTATGCGTTGATGGCGGACATCTACCCTATATGCCATGTTGCTGAAGCAGAGCAGGGCAGGGCACACCGGTGAAATACCAATCAATATGGGAACAGGCCACAGGCGTTACGCTCTCGGACCCACAGTGGGAAAAAAATACATGTACTCACGCACCAGGGGATACTCCGCTTCAAACTACAAGAACTCAACTACAAACTCCTGATGTGCTTGTATAGGACCCCTACCAGGCTGTATCGCATGGGGATTGTACCGAATGACCAATGCTGGTGTTGTGAAGCTGCAGAGGGATCAGACCTCCACATATGGTGGTCATGCCCTCTAATTGCTGCCTTCTGGCAACAGATACATAACAAACTCACTGAAGTCTTGTACTCAGATATACCTCTGCAATACCTCCCCATGCTAAGATGCCGATCGCAAATTATAAAAAATCCCTCAAAAGACACTTCATAAATGCAGCCAAAAGCTTAATCCCCACCAGATGTAAATCGAAAGACCCCACCATCACACAATGGACGTAAAAAGTTGAGGAGATCTATGCGATGGAGTCTCACACAGCGGGACTAAGAGGTTCAGTGGAGCGCTGTACCCATCTATGGGCCCCTTGGATAGAATACATAGCACGCCGGATGGGGGAGCAGACAGCGCGGGGGCGCAGGCCCAGCCGGGAGATGCTGCACACCCGGGGGTGAGGCTACGTAGAGATGCATAAGGCACCTGACAATGCTGACATAGACCTTCCTCCACCCCTATCTACCCCACCCTGGTACCTCTAACCCATCACCCCTCTCTCCCCCCTTCTTTTTTTTCCCTCTCTTTTCTCTCCCCCTCTACCTCTCCTTCCCCTTTTTCTGGCCATTGACGGAAGATGGACAGCTGACACTGCGTTCCTCAGTTACTGGGACCACGACCACCTACATACCGAAGTCATAACCAATAGGGTCTGCCGAAAACTTCACATTGCACACTACTCCCGAATGACACACGATGCCTCCGCTTGCGACCTCAAAGTAAGCAGAGAGGACGGTGGGCAGGAGCCACAGAGAACCCAAACTGCTACACATGGGCGTCACAACCCCACTGTATGCAGAAACACATATATGGTTGTGACGGACCGCCTGGCACTCTGACAGAGTGCCTCTGCCAATCTATGCTCCTAGTGCTCTCTAAGGAATTCCAGCACTCCACCAGACACCATAAGCAAAGCAGACCCCACTTCCAGCGATGCAGCTGTGCCGGTGTCTCACTGTCCTTCACCCACCCTGGACCCAATGCTTCCAGTGGCAGACCTCTCCTTCTCCCAGAGAGCGGAGCAGGAACAGCTCTTATAAGAGCTAGTGATTATAATTCCTGGGGAGTAAAGTGATATAGCAATCCCCAGGATAGATACAGCCGTTTCCCCAACACATGAGATGAGACTCTATGTTGAGGGTAAGCAGGAACAGAATTTTGATGGAGGCACACTGGCCTTTTATGCAAGTTTCCCAACAAGGGTGACACCCAGGTGGACCTTGTTGGGCACAGGGATACAAAGTGAATAAACCAATAAAAACAGAGTCATACAGTGAGACACTCCCATACACAAACAATAGAATCCCTCCTCTGTGCTTGGGATGAATCAGGAACTCTACTAATCTAACCCAATTATCTCCAAGCACAGAAAAAAACATACAATTTTATGAAACCCCAAAAAGTACCTTAAAAACACATAAAACCCCATAAGTTACATCCCCTGATAGCCCCGATCTGGGTGAACAACATATACAAAAATCACCCAGATCGGTTCAGGATTTCCTGGAAGTCATAGTTTTCACCGACCGTTCACATGGTCCTATGCCCAAAACAGTTCCAGAGAAATCAGTGCTGTCAGTCAAGTTCGGTAGTCTTTTCCCTGCAGGGCCCATAGTTTGTGGGCAGGAGGCTGGCAAGCAGGCCCCTTCAAGTACAAGTGGCGAGGTTACTTTCTCCACAATGATTATACTCCAACAACTGTGACATGCCACCTGCACGCAAGACTACTCTCTGTGCAGTAAGAGCAGCCGAGGTACATGCATAAGCTTGTGCCCAGACAGGGGTGCCTCAACCCCGCATGCATGCCACAATACCTACAAATATTTATTGTGACCTAAATGTATGATCCCACTATACGCAGAACACGTTCAACAGCATTCTCATGTTACTTCTCTGCTTTCCTTTGTAATACCTTTCTGAAACTCAAAATAAAGATGGTCTATTTTATTTTTTAATAAGTCATTGTGTAATCTCTGTCTAATCCATACATCCAGGGAAGGCCAAGCTATAGGTAGCCAAGTACCCTTATTCAGCGTTAATGTTCTCAAATATGATTAAACACTGAGTGGAGGAACAGTACCAGCGGACTCCAGTCACTGTAAAAAATATTCAGTGAGATGAAAAGGTTATTGTGCCAAAAGCGTACCTTTAAGATTTTATTGTTGTAAGTAGGCAAGTGATCCAACCAAATAGTAACAATAGCATCACATACTAAGAATAAGTGTCTTTTCCTACAGCTGACTTTTTTTTTTTTTTAAACAAGGTAATTTTCATACAAGGGATGATGTCAAGCATATTGTGTTAAATTTGGAATTAAGTGCAATATCATAATGTTTGGTAGCTTTTATGCTCTACTGATTAATGTGATCTAATTTGACAACATGTATTTTAATGTAATGTGTATACATTATGAAGTAAATATGATTTATTTTTATTTACACAAGTAAAATAAAGCACCAAGCTTACAAATTTTTTTTTTTTTTTTTTTTAAAAACAAGACATAACAGCCTGGAAGTAGTAAAGCTCAAAAAAGGTTTTAAAGATCATAGTTTGCAAAAAGTAAACTAAAACCCTCAATGCTGCACTGGCTGTTTTACAACCACAGTGAATGCAAGAATCACATAATCAAAGCACAGAATGCAACCTGTACTGCCAGGTTTAGCACCTCTGTGCCAGGGAACTCTGTCTTTCCAATGTATTCACTACCCTATGGCACCAAAGGACTAATAATCTGAGAAGAATAAAAGTAAAAGTGAAGCTTGCAATAGAATATGATATTGGTATCTAAAGAACAAAGATAAAGAAAGATTCTGCAAGCACCACACAATTGATGGTTTAAAAAAAACCTGGTATGATATGATTTGCAAAGCATTGAACACGACATACCTAAATCACTTTCAGCTTGCTGACGTGTTTTTTTTTGTTTGTTTTTTTTTTTTTTTACAAAAAGTGGAGACTTCTAAAGAAAGTGGCACTTTCATAACTTAACATTGTCACAGCGCCTGGCTGGCAATCAGACAAATAGTCCTGTTGCCGGAGCACTTGCCTTGCAAAGACTTCTCATTGAGCTGCATTGGGAAGTCAGTAATTGGACAGCCACATACTGTCTTTGCTGAGAAAGACGGGGAGGGATTGAAAAGTCAGCAAACAAGAGATCAGCTTTAGCAAACGGTTTTTACATACTGCCCCACAGGGACGTTTGAGCCGGGAGGCAAACAAGGCATTTGCCTTGGGCAGCATTTTCCAGGGGGCGGCAAAAAAAGCCGCCCCCACAAATGTCCAGGGCAAATGCCTTTTTAGCCTTGCAGCTAACTAACATGCTGGGCTGGGCGGGCGGCTGGCGAGGGAGCTCTTCCTCTGAGCGGTCTGCTCAGCTCCCTCGCACGCCGCAGAGTGAGGCTGGGAGCCGGAATATGACGTCCCAGCCTCACTCTGAGGCGCGCAAGGGAGCTGAGCAGAGTGCTCAGGGGAAGTTCTCCCTCGCCAGCCGCCTGCCCAGCAGCCCTGGACCCCCAGGGAGATAGAGAACCCCTTCCCGCCCCAGCTCTCCCAAACGTAAGGAGGTGGGGGCGGGGGGGTTGAAAAAAAAAAAGTGTTAATGTGAGTGAGTGTGTGTGTATGTCTGTTAGTGTGTGTGAGTGTGTCTGTTAGTGAGTGTGTTTGCCTGTGAGTGTGTCTGCTAGTGAGTGAGTGTTTGTGTGTGTTTGTGTGTGTGTGTATGCAGGGCTGGTGCAAGGATTTTTGCCTCCCTAGGCAAAAGTAAAGTTTGCCCCCCCCCCCCCCCATGTGACATCACAATGCCCCACCCATATGATCTGCCATGTTAACTAACGCCAGTGCTGCAGTGTCGCCGTGTTTACATTAAAAGGCCTGCAGGAACAGGCTATGGACACCAGAACCACTACATTAAGCTGAAGTGGTTCTGGGGACTAGAGATTAGTGCCACGAATAATATACTAGATTGCCTACTTACAACCAGATGAGGATGATGATGGTCTCTAGCTGCAGTCTGGCTCCACTGGTCTGGTGTAGAACAGGCTCTCTAGAGGCTGTTTGTAACTGTGGTCACAAAAATCAATGTTCTGGGAGAAGCAGCTCCATTTTTTTAAGGCCCTTTACACAGCTCAAGGTCTGGGTCCCAGGGTCCACCTTCATGTTCCACCAATGAGTTTGTTCACATGGGGTGGAGTAGAGGGATGTCCTGATATGTGTGTAAGGAATGCATTGTGTGAATCTGTGTTTGTATGTGTAAGGGCTGCAAGGTGTGTTTCTGTGTATGTACGGGATGCAGTGTGTGTGTCTGTAAGGGGTGCATTGAGTGTGTGTAAGGAATGCATTGTGTGTTTCTGTGTGTGTAAGGGATGCATTGCGTGAAAGGGTTGCATTGCTTGTGTGTGTCTGTGTGTGTAATGCATGGTGTGTTTTTCTGTGTGCAAGGGGTGCATTGTGTGTGTGTGTGTGATGGATGTCAATCTCTTCTCCCCCCCTCTCCCTCCCTTGTCACTCTCTTCTCCCCCCTTGTCCCTCTCTTCTCCCCTCCTCCCTTGTCACTCTCTTCTCCCCTGCTTGTCCCTCTCTTCTCCCCCTCCCTTGATACTCTCTTCTCCCCTGCTTGTCCCTCTCTTCTCCCCTCCCCACTCTCATTCCCCCTCCCTCCTCCGTCAATTCCCCTCCCTGTCAGTTTCTTCCCACCCACCCTGTGAATTTCTTTCCCCTCCCTTTCAATTTATTCCCCCACTCTCCCTGTCAATTTATCCCCCTCCCTGTCAATTTATCCCCCTCCCTTTCAATTTATTCTCCACCCCCCTTTCAAATTTATTCCCTACCCTCCATTTCAATGTATTCCCCTTCCTGTCAATTTCCCCTTCCTGCCAATTGCCCTTCCTGTCAATTCCCCTTCCCTGTCAATTACCCCCTTTCCTGTCAATTCCACCCCGTCAATTTCCACCCCCTGTCAATTCCACCCCCCTTCCGTCAATTCCCCCCTCCTGTCAATTCCACCCGTCAATACCACCCCGTCAATTCCACCCCGTCAATTTCCACCCCTCCAGATTCCACCCCTCAATTCCACCCCCTTCCCACCCCTTCCAATTCCTGTCAATTCCACCCCCCCTTCCCTGTTAATTCTCCCCCCCCCACCATTGTTGTAGCGTGGCCGAGCCCTCCAATGGTCAGCGGGTACAGGTAGCTCTTGTTTCCTGTATCCGGCCGGACTAACAGGAAGTGCACACTCAGTGTGCACTTCCTGTTAGTCTGGCCGGGTACAGGAGACAGATGCTTCCTGTACCCGTGGACCAATAGAGGGCTCGGCCACGCTACAGTGAGGGAGTAACAGGAGAGAGTGCTGAGCACTCCCTCCTGTCAGCCCCTGTCCTCAGGCTGCGCCCGGGCGGTGCGCCCTCATGGAAGCACCGCCCGGGCAAAGCTGCAGCCGCCTGAGGCTCTCTACAGAGCGCTCGGGCGGCTGCAGCATGGGGGGGCCAGCGCTCCTGGCGGCTAGGGTGTAGCAACCAGGCTTGCCCAAAAAGTGCGAAACCCCACTACAAAATGGTGTTTCATCCTGGCCACTGTACATGCCAGGCTGCCTAAAATGTACTCTAGCAGGCCTACTCTGCAATGCCTATGCTCAGGACATACCTGAAGCACTCGGGCCCCAATGTCTCTGCTCATTCTGCACAGTGTAAACTTGGGTCATTAAGCTCCATTTCCCTGACATCACCAGATGCAGGACACAAAGGAACAAAAACAAAGAACTCTGAGAATGGACAAAAGCTTAGAAGAATTCAGTAGCTTGCCCTTTTTAAAAAGCCCTGCTTAGGTCTTACAAAAAGGTTTTGCTCATTTGTTCCCTTACAGAGAGAACCAGTTCCAAGGCAAAATCAGACTGATTCCACCCATAAGGGCAGTCCAGAACAAAAATGCCAGCAAATTCTCTCTGCATGAGAGATAAAGCAAAAATTATTTTGGCCCTCTTTGGTCCTCTAAGCTTTTGTCAGTTCTCAGATTTCTTATATTCCTTGTTTTTGGTGCACTTACTTGGCTCTCCCCAAGTTAAAAGGGAAATCCAGACATATACTCTGTGCTCACTGTGCTAAGAGGGGAATCAACTATACCTCGCTGATAAGGTCCAAGGAAGGCCGGAACAATCATCTGGGATTGCTGTATCTCTCGTTCTGAGAGAACTTGCCGGCATTTCTGTTCTGGACTGGCCTTATGGGTAGGATCAGTATGATATGCCTTGGAACTGGTTCTCTCGGTAATGACACAAGTGAACAAAAACTTTGAGACCTGAGCACGGATTTACCAAAGGGCAACCTATTGAGTTCCTCTAAGCTTTTGTCTATTCTCAGAGTTCTCATGTTCTTTGTTTTCACCAGGGTACAAACCTGGGACAACAGGACAGGAACCGCCAAACATGGTACATTGGGATATATATGCATTTCTAAATTGTATGTTTGTATCCCTCTTAATTCTACAGAATATATTGGCAGTATATAATAACAATAATATAGCTTATTCCCATTAGCTTGTAAACTGAAATATAGGTTAGAGATGGCACATTTTCCTTTTATGCACTGAATATTCCCTGCTACTTCACTTGTATCCAGTCTAATGGAAGAAACCTACTAGAGCGCAGTCCTTTTGTTTTACGTTCATAGTTTATACTCTCTTGGGTTTGTAACTACTATAATAAACATTATGATGTATTCTAGGTCCACACATTGCTTAATGTGGTTCATAGTCAAAAACTAACCCTTAATTTTTCTATTAAGTAATTTATGCTGGCATAATTTAATGCTGACATTATGCCATCAACTATATTCTGCAGTTTTCTAAATATTCAATGGAGAAGTAAGGTTTATAGTTGGTCCATGTTTGTTTGACTAATATTACATGCATGAAAACTGCACAAACGTTTCTCAACCCTTTTTGTGGCCTGAATAAACATATGGGTAATACATATGCATTTACCAAGGGTCAAAGAATAGGGAAGTAAAAAGAAATGTGTGAAATAATAAAGACTGAAACCCCCTTCCACTTATCACTTGTCATCCCCTTTCAACCCAAATTGACCCTGTTTTACACAGGATGCTGCTTGTTAAGTGTTCTTGCATAGCAAGACCACTTAATGTTATCTCACATATATATTATTAAGTGTTCTTGGATAGCAAGACCACTTAATGTTATCTCACATATATATTATTCTTATTATAGCCAAATTTACCACCCTAACACC